GCTACATTTGTGATCGGAGAAATGACAAACAACAAGCGCTACTCTACACTGCCCAAAACTCGTGTTTGAATAGTCAGTGGCAAATCCTTTAAATATAAAAATCATACTTGCAGTCTGTGAGTCAGAACAGCCGGCATTGTAGTCTACCCTTTAATCTTAGTTCAAGTTTTAGCAGCTCTGTTCTGTTCATGTGCTGCCATTCTTTTTCTTATTATTTTTTTAAGTACTCAGTTCAAGCTTCGTTTTTTTTATTTCTGTTTTATTTCTGTTTTAGTTTATGTAATTAATACTTCAAATTAAACATATTTATTACCGTTATTTGCCAGGGCAACATTTCTAGTGTTTAGGTTTTCTTCTAATAATTATATTTTATTTTATTTCAGTGTTAGTTCAATTAACAAAAATGATTTCTGGTTTTAGTTAACAGTAACAACTCTGTTGTGTGCAGTTTAACACAACAATTATAACAACAATAGTAAGTATTATTAACGTTACCATATCATTATTTTGGATATTTCAAATTAATTTCAGATTTTTTTTTCCATAAATCATACTTTTAAGTATAAATCGGAATATAATAATAATAATAATAATAATAATAATAATATAAATGTCAGTGTAGGATAAATATTCAATTTAAGCCCTAAGTCTAAAACATAGATATAAACCACCATGATGCTGGGTTTTGCAAGGGTTTTTTAGCGTGTTATTTAGTTGCTAAAGTGTTTCTAGCGTGTTATGAGTGATTGCAAATTTTAAAGCAAACACCACTAATTATAATTTTATGCTGCTACCTTTATATTTTTATTAGTAGATGTAACAAAATTGGTATTTTTTTTGGAAATGTTTTATTTTTTTATTTTGTTTGCATATTTACAATACAGTTTTATTTTATAGTGAAGTTTCTGCATTTATAAAATTATATATATATATTTTTTTTGCATCCAGCACAGAAACAACATCCTTTATCTGGTGGAGAGTTTCCAGACTGTGGTGATTGTTGGAGAAACAGGATCTGGAAAAAGCACACAAATCCCACAGGTTTGATGCTGTGACTTCATAGTCTCTGGCCTCTGTTAATAGCCGTTTACAGAATAATTATAATAATAACATAATATTTCCACACAAATGGCCTTTGGGAAAATGATTGCAGTGCAGTTTGTGTGCAAGCACGGAACAGAAGATAGTCTGAAATAAAACAAAAAAAGTCCGGTAGATCGGTGCATCTGTACTCCAGTGAATAAATTCAATATAGATTAATAATTTTTAAAGCTACAAAGTTACTTGCCAGGACGGGTATTGACATACTTTTGTATGTATTTGCCCGTCCAGGCGGCTCGCGCGTGTCAGAGACGCGGCTGTCTGTGCACTGAAAGGAGTTGTCTTTCGCACCCAAATGCTTTTTAATCGCTTGAATTTTTAAATTAACAAGTCTTAAAAACACATGCAAATGATAAAATGTCGTGACGATGCTGCAGTGGCCCGATCGGGCAAGTGACAAATCCGTCTACTGTCCCGAACGCCTTTCACACTGGCCCCGGGCCATCGGGCAGTCCTTATTGTCGAGCCCTGTTTAGTCAACCTTGTCCTGTTTTTGTTTAGTCAAGTTTTAGTCAACGAAATGTCTGAGCATTTTAGTCAGGTTTTTAGTCAATGAAATCTTGTTGTATAATGAATTAAGGTCAATAAACAGATTTGCTTGACAGAAACAGTAAAGAAAGTCTTGTAGGTCAGAAGTGTGTTGTGATGTTGTTGATGTTTGGGTAGTATCTGCTGGAGGCGGGATGGGCGGCGGACGGGAAGGTGATCGGCGTGACTCAGCCGCGGCGAGTGGCTGCCACATCTGTAAGTAACTCTTCTCTTCAGTTTAATTGAACATGAATGTCTGCTGCGGGCCGCTGTCTGTATGTGATTGTGTGCTCACAGGTGGCCGGTCGCGTGGCGGAGGAGCGGGGGGCGTATCTGGGGCATGAGGTGGGCTACAGCATCCGCTTCGATGACTGCTCTGACCCGCACGCCACACGCATTAAGGTACAGACAGGCTCTGGTTTATTAGTGTTACGTCTGCTGTTTGTAAAGGGTGTCCGTCTTTACAGTGACTTCCTGTTCTCTGTGTCTCAGTTTCTGACGGACGGGATGTTAGTTCGGGAGATGATGTCTGACCCGCTGTTGAAGAAGTACAGGTAAAGCAGCAGTGGCGCTTCAAATAATTGACGAATTAAAAAAACAAAAAATCCACATTCGAATGCAAAAACGTTCAATTTGAATTTTAGGTGTGCGTTAGGCTACCTTATCAATGGCACACAAGATGCGATGACAGTGTAAGTGTCGTTGCTTTTTAATGCTTTTTTTTTAGCCTATCCAGTTGAACCTACTGGATGCGGCGCTGCTTTGAAAGCCATGTAAAATTAATGTAAGTTCCCTTCCAAGGGAACTTCGAACTGCGTCCTCTAGCGGTCGCTATGGGGAACGCCTTCGGCGTGACCGGTGTCTGAAGCATATATCTAAACACGACAATGACATTGGCCGGCGACGGCCTATGACGTCATTACCGGCGTGGCCACAGTATAAAAGGGAGCCGGAAGAACACGTCATCCTCTTCTTCATCTTCACTGACCGTTTGTTTATGTTAGCGGTAAGCTAAGCACGACTAGGAGTGCATGTTCTCTCACCAGAAACTTTGCTCTGATACCTGCGGTTTCACATGGCTCGTGTGTTGTGTGTGTGTTGTGAAGTTTGCATGAGCGTTCGCCTCTCACGGAAATAGCGACACATTCGTGGCAGAGGTTTTCGTTCTCACCTGATTTCCGAGGTAATCTAGCGCGTGAATGGAGCGTGTTTAGCTCCCGTGGGAGCTGAATGCATGCTGTGCGTTGCGGTTGCGGTGAGAATTGTCTGCCCATTGCCTGCGATTCGCGGTTGGTGGGCAGAACATGGAAAGGACCTGACGGGAAATCTTTTCCCTATCAGTAATTTCCTGATGTTTATAATACCTTATATATAAGGAAGTTTACAATGTGGATATCTGTCTGCAGTTGTTGGACATATGAGTTATATCATGTCCTTATCAGATAACCACATTATACTGCACTCCGAGAGCCCATTTTCTGCGCCTTTACTTTCATTCAGGGTTGTATGACTCTCTGTGCTCAAGTGTTGGCTTGCGAGCCTCCTTGATGCTTGGCCCTGAACTGCGCTTATGCTGGGTGTGGTAGAGTATCATGCTCTCTGGGGCTAGGAGCTTGACCGTACTCCCCTCTCGCTACTTGGGCTACTTGTTAGTAGGTCATTGGCGCAGAACCTGGTTCCCTTACCTTAACGCTACAACCTCTGAGGCCCTACGGGTCTCCTTGAGGGGGTATCTTTCAGGTTGAGCAGGGCAGTACTTGAGGAATATTCCGTGCCCTGCTCTCTGATGGCCTGCTGGATGCTTTGGCTTTGAGAAGCCACCCTAGCTAGGGCACATATAAGGTGAGCTAATTCATGTCTCGTCCTGAGGGGCTCCTTGAGTCTTAAGCTACCTTGTGTCCATTCTGCACATGTACTGAGCTGGAGTTTTGAGTAACTTCACTCCCTAAATTCCACTCTGCAGTTTTGACAGGTTGTCAGGCCCACTGTGGGCCTCCCTGTCACACTGCCCTTATGGTTGAATCAGTGTCTCCCCTCTTAGGAATGGTTTTGAGTGCACTGTTTCTCCCTGGGTTATGAGTGTGATGTGCTCCCTTCTTCTGAAGGTCTGTTTTTAGGCACTCGCTCTGAGGAGCTTTACCATGTGTATGAATGGCTTTGGGTCCCGTCCTGTTCCTGTGGTCGAGCTAGCACTGCTCCCCTTGAAGATAAAGGTGATGCAGGAGCCTGCTGCTCCCACAATCCCTTCAGCTCCTTCAAGCCTAGCTGTATGGGACCCTCACTCTCCCTATACTGATGTATGGGTTTACATTGTCAGTTGTGTCAGCTGATGTGCAGTTGTATCAGGTTAACAGGCCTCATTCCTGTCGCCCTGTTAGACTGTCTTTCTGGTTGAGTTTGGCAGTGCTCCCCTCACTACGGAAGGTTATATATGAGCCTGCTGCTCCCTGTTTCAGCTCTGTTAATAACACTAGCCTTATGGTCGAGCTTGGCAGTGCTTTCCTCACTGCAGAGGGTTAACTACGAGCCTGCTGCTCCCAGAGTGAGTGTTCATTCCCTGCAACCTCATAGACCCGCGGGTCTTTCATTGAGGTTACTTTCAGGTTGAGCATTCTTCAGAGTGTAATACTTCGTGACATGCTTACTGATGTCCCGGCTGGGTGATTGCTTCGAGAAGCTGTCCCGGCCAGGGCAATTTACTCATGTCTTGCCTTGAGGGGATTCCTGAGCTTTGAGTCATCCAGTCACCATTATGCACATTTTATAGAGCTCCTCTTGCTGAGGCACTGAGCGTTCTCACTCCATTCTGCAGTATCGATAGGTTGTTAAAGAGTCCTTTTTTGGACCTCCCTGTCACACTGCCCTTATGGTTGAACCGGTGAGTTGCCCCTCTGCGGAGTGGGCTTGAGTACACTGCCTTCCCTGAGGTATGAGTGAGACGTGTTTCCTTCTCTGCGGAGACCCTTCCTAAGTGCTTCGGCTCTGAGGAGCAGTAGCTCTTTGTGCATGAGTGGATCATTAGGTCCCGTTGTTTCAGCAGGCTCCTTCGAGCTTGGTTAAATGTGACCCACGCTCAGAGAGCATGGGACTGTGTTCAGCTGACAGTCTCTCATCAGGCCCTGTTAGACTGCCCCTTCTAGTCTAACGCTGCCTTCTGGTTGAGCTAGGAAGTGCTCCCCTCACTGCGAGGGTTAGCTATGAGCCTGCTGCTCCCAGTATGAGCTATGAGGGCCTACCTCAGCAGGAGAGCCGAGTGCGCTGCTCCCGAGAACTCCATGAGCAACCATACTGAGTTGTTAGGCTTCCTGTCGCCTCCTTGGTTAGTTGCCTCTATGGTGGGAGCCTGCTGCTCCCTGTTGGAACATGTGTTCCCCTGCTAAGCTGGGTTCCGTTCCTGATGCCCCATCTGCGGTCAATCTGCTTCTCTGAGCTTGGCAGTGCTTCCATCACTGCGGGAGGGTCTTTTATGAGCTCGCTGCTCCAAAGCAGATCATGTGAGTCCTCCTCTCTACCTGAGAGTTAGGAACTCTGCCCCTAGGGTATTGACCGCTCGTTCTGGTCGAGCTGGGTTCTTCTCTCATTACTGGGAGTCAAGCCCTCCACTCCGTGGCAGCAACACCAGGTAGTTTGGCCACTTGCTGCCACCCTGATGAGTTGCCCCTTTTTTGGTTGAGCCTATCAGTGCTCCCCTCGACCTAGAGGGTCACCTTCGAACATGCTGCTCCCAAATGAGCGTCTGAGGTCTCACCTCACAGAGTCCTCTGCTCCCTGGAGCTCCATTGAGCAGCCATCTTAGGTTGTTAGGCCTCTCTCTGCCTCCCTGTTAGCCTGCTATTTTGGTTGAGTTTAGCAGTGCTCCCCTCATTTTGGAGGGTCACTTGCGAACACGCCGCTCCCATACTGAGTGTCTGAGTTTCTCTTCCATTCAGAGAGCTGAACCTCCGCTCTCTGGAGCTCCGGTTGGCAGCCATGCCATGTTGTTGGGCCACCTTCTGCCTCCCTAGTGGGCTGCTTTCGGTTGAGATAGCAGTACTTCCCTCGCCTTAGAGGGTCACTTATGAACACACCAGTCTCAACCAAGCGTTGAGTTCTCCTCTCATTCTGTGAGTCACGTTCTCCGCTCCTTACAAGCAGCCAAGCCAGGTTGTTAGGCCTTTCTGCCTCCCTGCAAGGCTGCACTTATGGTTGAGCTTAGCAGTGCTCCCCTCACTCCAGAGGGTCACTTGTGAGCATGCCGCTCCCTCCTGAGCGTCTGAGTTTCCCTCTCAGCCTGAGAGTTGAGTTCTCTGCTCCCCAGAGCTCCGTGAGACAGCAATACCAGGTTTCGGACCTTTCCTGCCTCCCCGATATGCTGCTTTTGTGGTTGAGCTTGTAGTGCTCCCCTCACGCTAGAGGGTCATCTGAGCACACTGCTCCCAAGTCGAGCATCTGTGAGAGTTGGGTGCTTCGCTCCTTCAAGTTATGTATGAGCATAATGCCGGAGCCTGTTCTGTGACTACTATGGTTGAGTTGGCGATGCTCCTCTCAATTGGAGGGTTCTTCTATGAGGTACACAATTTCCAGTCCACATGACCTCTGAGCACGTGGGCTTTCTGCTGAATTAAGTAACTGCTCCCTTGAGCGTCTTTCACACCGCAGGAACCTTTTCATAGTACCAGAACTAATTGTGGAACTACCCACTTTTTGGCGTTTTCGCACCGCCGGAACTGGGTGCGATTTTAGTACCGGACTGCCTTTTTCGAGAACCAAATTAGCTCCTACGCGCAAAATCGTCCCAGTACTTTAGTACTGTACATTTAGTTCTTGAACTAAAGCGGTGCGAAAGGCCCTAGTGTCACATGAGGTTCCTAGCCCTGTCTTGGCCTCGGTAACCCCTTAGCAATGGTGATTCTAAAATCCATGTTTATGGTAAGTGCACACGCTGAGCTTCTGTGCACTTTCTTAAAGGGGTCATATGATGTTGCTAAAAAGAACATTATTTTGTGTATTTGGTGTAATGAAATGTGTTTATGC